GTCTATTGTTGTTTCATGTTGTAACAGCCTGGGTGGTGGGTGGGGCTCGTTTGTTGACTAGGGCTGGTTTCCAGATGTCTGGTAGGCGGGAGATATCCTCACGTTTATTCATGTTGTGGGGAAAGCAGTAAGAAAAAAAGAAAAAACTTCCTCCCTTTTCCAGCACCTTAAAGCTACATGACATGAAATTAATTCTGAAGGAACCAAATTAATGTCCAAAACAGAACACTTCAACAAGAAAATAATTATGAAAGCTATCGAAATAGAGAAACATGAATAAACGTGATGATACCTCCCGCCTACCAGACATCTGGAAACCAGCCCTAGTCAACAAACGAGCCCCACCCACCACCCAGGCTGTTACAACATGAAACAACAATGTACACACAGCCAGCATAATCAGCACCAATCAACTAATCATGATACAACCACACAACCAATCACTCCACTTACTGAAACAAAGCCAGCACTCCACACACACCCACCAAGATTTATAGAAAGACGACAGCTCCAATCACACTTTAAGCCGAAAACACAGCCTGAAGATGGCGAATGAGACCTCGCTGAAACATTGCCAAGACAATCTCAATCTTACATGGGAAAAGACCCGAATACAACAAGACCAACATATATATACACACACAGATTTATAATATTACTGAAATCTGTTTATCCTTGAAATTATTATTTTGAAATTGTATATATGAATTGAAGTGGAGAACCCAGATTCCCACCAAGACTGGTAGGGCGTTAGCATATATATATTTATCTCTATGTGTCTACTGTTGCTTGATTCGCCTCAATGTCAAACTTTCATAAATGTTTAGATTTGGGTTACCCTAAAATACTAACAATTTCCCAGTTGAAACTGTGATTCAATTTGTCTTTTTGTAGAGAGATTAAAGGATTTCCATCATGTCTTCTGACAGATGACTTCCAAGGTCCCTTCCAGCTGTTATTCCGTTCTATTCAAATGATGGTTACATTCTGCCTGTCTGTCTTATATAGTAGCTGTTAAAGTTCACATACATACTGTATGTTGTAGATGACTCCTGTTTTTCTTCTTCTTTGGTAACTGGCTGTTTAAGTTTGCTTAAGATAAGTTTGCTTAAGATGTTTCCTGCAGACCAACAAAGGGATTTTGTTGGTCTACAGGAAAACAGACCACCTCAGAAAGTTTCAAGAACCCACTAAACTGGTTTCAAGAATATAATTTGTTTCCGTAGAAATTTAAGTACCCAAAGTCACGTACATAAGAGCAGAGGACCAGAATTATGACCCTTGGAAATTTTAGAGACAAGAAGTATAGTTTGGAACAATTGTTGTGCAGAGTCACTGCTCTAAAGAATGTGCTTTAGCACTCAAGGCACTATTAATTTTTACCTTCTTGCTCACTATGCAAGTACAAACTCTTCAGATTCATATTCCAAAGCATTCAAGGACACATTATTTTCTTGTTACTAATTTTGTCATATTCCAGGAATTTGGACTTGGGATGGGAATAGGTGGTTGCATAAATATACATAGACATGATTGTCAGAATTACTCACGATTACAAAGCTTCTTCAGAGATGTGATTGAAGAGAGAGATGAAACATTCATCTTCCCCTCTTTCAGATCTTCTGCAGGTTTTGCTTGCATCAGAAAGTATTTGTATAACTCTGCTTGGAGAGGAGTTGGCCTGACACAGAAGAGAAAAATAAATATTAGATCATTCTAAAGATAAGTCATGTCATATACACAATATGATTTAGTTTCAAGGGAAATATGATGCATGATTAATACAGCTCTGAATCTATCAGACTTTTTTTTACTATCCAGATTTAAATACTAAAAGTATTTGTTAGTATTTGCTATCCAAATACTAGAAACTCAGTAGGGGAAAGAGAGGAACTTAGCTTTCAACTGACTTTGGTAGGAAATCAGGTAATTTCATAAGCCTTCAAGAATCCTATTTGCTCAGTTCTAGAACCTTAATGAAATTAATTCTTTTAACAAATATTCTCAAAATTACACCCATTTCGAATGTCTCATGAGGCGTCTCATACACTTTTGGGGGGGGGCACAGAATATAGTTCTAAAGAAACAAATAGGTTGCAAAACATCTGACCATTTTTATTTTCTATGAATATGGAATAGAATTGTATGTGTATAGAAACTCCATAGGCACCTTCAACACTTTCATACAAATGGTGGTGGTAAATGGTATTTTTTGGCATATTACGTTAACTGGCTTTCTGAATTGATCTTATAAAACGTTAACAGACAGAAAGCCTTGTGGGTACCAAGAGTATAGTACTTTAGCACACAATACACTGGGCATCCTAAGTTGAATTTATACTTCAAGAAAACACAATGTAGTCAGTGATTTAGTTAAATGGTAAGCTCTTTGGTATTAGAAGAGCTGCTCTAAGCATGAACAAATCCAGATCAAACCCACTATATCTCATTTGTTTCACCCCTACCAACATTCATGACCATATGAGTAAATGTAGAGGATTCTAAATCTCTAAACAGAAATACCAGCCCATCACATTTATATATACTGTTATATAAAGTCCTATATGTCATAGGGCTTAGCTACTTGAAAGGCTGGCTATCCTGTTTACTTCAATGGATTTGCTTACTTTAGTCCCATCAATTAAACAATATGTTTCTCTTACTGCATTTGCTCTTTGTAACAGCTTCTCCCCAAGAATTCATATAGCCTCCACCTTGCCCACCTAAAGCCAGATTCCTTTATGATAGTATGCACAAATGGATTTCTAGGTTATTGTAAATATTTGTACACATGGCAATAGCTAGTAGGATGGAAATACTGTTGACAAAAAACAACAGCTGTTGTTGTGGAACACAGATAGACACTTGGCTCAAACCTACACAACTCATTCACTGCATAAAGCAAACAGGAAAGAAATGTGGGGATTAGAGGCAAGATTTGTTCTTTTTAATTCGTTAATGCTGATCATTTTGGAAAAAGTGCCATTGTGCTTTGAAAACCAGAAGAATATTAAGTATTGTTCTCTAAGCAGGCAGAATGGATATGGGATGAATGTTTCCTGTCTAAAGTAGAACAGTTTTTAAAACTGATTTAACTGCTTAACCACTGGGAAAGGCATACTGCTTACACCTACCCTCTTGCAGTGTTTTTCCCAGATCACTTTGCTTCATATGGAAAAAAAAGTCCATTAGATTTCAGTTCTAACAATTCTAAATATAATATTCATGGTAGCTTCAATTATGCTAATTTTGTAGAAATTATTGAAAGATTAACCAGACCTTATCAACAATGCACGTGGCTGTTTTGCCAAGTAGCATTAAATCTAGCATATAATACCAATCATAACATTTTTAATAACTGTACTATGGTTGGGCTACATTCAGCTTAAATTCAAAAGCCTCTGTGCACTGACAAATCCCTCTTTTTTTCATTAAGAGGAAACTTGTTCCTTATTATACATTTTGCCCTTTAATTTTATACCTGCAACACACCACCTGCTCAATTTTCACTGGCAGGTATTTGGAGAGAATATCTGAAGTTCTTCTTATTAGGCATCTAAAAAGGAAAGGCAAAGATAACCTTAATATTGTTAACACCATGGCCTCATCTCTTGACTACATTTCACTGATATTTCTTCCTAATGCTAGTAGGAAGACCTTCATCCAGAATATTTAGCAATATTTTCAGGATTCCTTTTTTGGAAAATACACGCAATTTCCACAAGAGAATAAATGCTTTTCTTGATTGAATCTTGCCAACTAGCCGCCGTCAAATTAACTTTCTTGACCAAATATTCAATATTTTTTTGACCAAATATTCAAAAAAGGAAATAAGGAAGGCAACCCAATAAACGCAGAACAGGTATTCCTCAAATTAATCTGTTGTGTAAAAACCATTCAAAGTTACAGTGGCCTCAGAAAGGGTGCTTTAGATCCTGTAAAGTACACCTGGCCATTATAAAACATTGTGCTATCCCCAGCATTTTGTGTGGTTAACAACTGGCTCGTATTTATATGTTACCTACCACCGAAGAATCAGCTCTGCTCCTTCAGCCCCACAAAGGATTCCCCTCCATACACAGAGTAGTAGTAAATCCTTTGGCAGGCTGCAGGAATGGAGCTGAAATATTTGAGATTTCAACTGTTTCTGTAGCCAAAATATTTTCCCTCTATGCATGGATGAGAGCTGAATTCCTTCGACAAGTTGTAGGAACATATGAGAATGACAGACTGCCATGAGGAGGTGAAATCTTCCCAACAGGCAGACTTTTTGCTTTGTCCACTTAATAGCCACAACCGGTAGTGCTGGGATTATGGTTGTTAAGTATAGCAGCCACACGGACAACTTGGTAATGACTGCTTTGCTTAAATAATTAGACTCTGGTCTCAATTGTGGTTCTAAGTCAAAGACTACCTGTAAGTGCTACCATGTTTCCCCAAAAATAGGACATGTCCTGATAATCAAATCGGGCTTTTCCGGGCATGTGCTAAAATAAGACAACCCCACCGCCTCCCAAACTACTTAGACGCTGGTACCCACCATTTCCATTGGTTGCTTTACACGCAAACAACTGAGGTGAGGAGGCGAGGCCGGAGGGGGGGGGGACATGCCCCAATGACCCCACACGCCCTTACCATACCTACTGGTAAGGCTGATGGCTAAGTAAAGAGGGCCAGCCACAAAGCAAGCAGCAGCCAGCAACGCACCTAGTGCCCCACTCCTTCCTGCGCAAAATGAGCACCTCCCACCCCACCCCAATGGCAACAGCATTCTGGTGGCTTCCCTTCCCCGCTGTCTCTTTAGCAAGAGAAGTGGAAGGTGGCGGGGGAGAAACAAGGTGCGCGTCCTAGTGGTACCGGAGACTTGTAGTTCCGTGCCTTCCTTGCCATTTTCTCAAGGGAAGCACTTTGTAAAAAAAAAAAAACCTTGCGAGTTCAATCAAACTTCTCGAACTCAAGAGGTTTTTTTACAAGGTGCTTTCCTGGACAAAATGGTGAGGAACACGATGGAACGCCAAGTCTCCAGTACCGCTAGGACTCGCACCTCACTTCTCCCCCACTCTACCTGCCACCCTTCTCGCTAAAGAGACAGTGAGGGAGGAAAGCAGCCAGGATGCTGTTGCCATTGGGGCAGGGTGGGAAGCACACGAGACACGTGTCTTACCGGACACTGACAGCTCCGTCGCTTTACCTTGCACAGTAAAGAAAAACTTCTTGTGAGTTTGAGAAGATAATTGCTTGCACTCACAAGGTTTTTTTTTTACTGTACAAGGGGTTTCCCTGCACAGACTGGCTGAGAGACGCTACGGAGCTGTCAGTGTCTAGTAAGAACTCATGGCCCAGCCTGCTCCATCCACCCGCCCCACCTGCCACCCCCAAATTTCATCCCACTGTGAGACATGCATCATACCAGAGACTGGCAGCTCCGTCACATTCCGTACCATTGTGTCCAGGAAAGCACCTTGTAACAAAACCAAACTTCTCGTGAGATCGAGAAGTTTGATTGAACTCACGAGAGTTCCTCACCATTTTGTCCAGGGTTTTTTCACGTGTTTCCCTGAACACAATGGTGAGGAACACAAGGGAGCTGGAAAGGCAAGACGCGCATCTCGCTTCTTGCCCGCCCCACCTGCCAAAAAATAATAACCCCCCCCACCCCCGATAATAAGGCCAAGGCCATATTTCAGGGGGGGTCAAAAGAAAATAAGACCCTGTCTTATTTTGGGGAAAACACGGTATATGATTATAGAAAAAAAAATAGGACTATCAGTTCTGACTTGCAAAAATGAGAAGAATGATACAGAAAGCTCTAATTCTGTGCTGTCATCTACTGAGGTACTGTAGGTACCCGACCTACAGTTATGAGATGAAGCATACATTAAAGAGAATAGTTGAATGAGCTAAAGACATTATAGAATAACAAGCAACTCATACAGAATCAGGATAAGAACTTAAGAGAAGAAAGAAAGAAAAAGTATCATTATAGAGATAAAAGGATGCTCAACTTCACCTGTTGACAATATTAATCAGCTCTTTCAGTCTCTCTTCTCCTTTTTGCCTTCCAGCCTCATTTGCATCTGCATCTCTGCCTTTTAAAATGGGGATTTCAAAGTGCTTTTTAAACTCCTGGGCTGTCCCTGTACAAAAACAGATACATTTGGGAATTAAGTATCTGCTGTCCTAAAAATGCCCTTATCCCCCCCCTCTTTTTTTTTTTACTATATGAAAGTCTTTTTTAAACCTGGGATTTTTCAGTTGAAAAGAAAAGCAGACAGAACCTTCATTACCTAATGCTTCTGACATCAAAACCATTATTAAAACCATCTTCATAATTATTGAGCACTAATATACCTTACAGAATACATTTTAGAGTGTAATAATACTTTACTGAATGTGTTATTCAGGGACAGGAAAGCAATAATAAGCAATCCCAACTAGGTCAGCTAATTAACCCACAAAACTTCAAATAAGCCTCCTCCATTATCAACTTAGGTAGAAACCCTGTGTAGGTAATGCAGATAGAGCTTTGCTTTGACCTCTCTGTGATTTTATAACTGAAAAAGGACTATGGTAACCAAAGTATAATCAGCCATTTTTTATTCAGGACCTTGCAAAGCAAGATTATATATTACATCCATACAAGCCACAGTGGCGCAGTAGTTAAATTGCAGTATTGTAGGTCAACTCTGTCAACAGTCTGAAGTTCGATCCTGGTAAGGCTCAAAGCTGACTCAGCCTTCCATCCTTCTAAAGTTGTAAAAGTACCCAGATTGTTGTAAACCACCTAGATAGAGAGTGCTGTAAAGCACTATGGGGAGGTATATAAGCTTAAATGCTATTGATATCATCCTACACAAAGAAAGTTCTCCACCAGGACTAATCAGTAAATGATGTCTCCATGCCTTATTCTGCAATGAATGACTTTCTCTGTGTGAGAGAAGGCTGGGGGGAATTGTTCCCCCTTCTTGTACAGAGAAAATATATGATGCAATGGACGTTTCCACGCAATGAATGAGACTTTCCCAAGCTCTCAGCTATCTACCATTCATCTCAAGATATAGCAATAGCACTTAGACTTATAAGTGCTTCATAGTGCTTTTACAGCCTGCTCTAAGCAGTTTACAGAGTCAGCATATTGCTCCCAACAATCTGGGTCCTCATTTTACCCACCTCAGAAGGATGGAAGGCTGAGTCAACCTTGAGCCGATGAGATTTGAAATGCCGAACTGCAGCTAGCAGTCAACTGAAGTAGCCTGCAGTACTGCACTCTAACCACTGTTCCACCTTGGCTCTATAAATTCCCACCCCCAATATACAGCACCGTGTGTGTGTGTGTGTGTGTGTGTGTGTGTGTGTGTGTAGGTTTGTTGTCTATTATTCTTTCTCTATGGCTAGCCAAAACTATTTAATTTAAACTGGGATTGCCACAGTGGTGGGTTTCAAATTTTTTTAGAACCTCTTCTATAGGTGTGGCCTGCTTTGTGGGAGTGGTTTGCTGGCCATGTTACTGGGTGGGAGTGGCTTGCCAGCCATGTGACTGGGTAGGCGTGGCTAACTTGTAAAATGTGGTGAAACTCACTTAACAATGCTCTTGCTTAGCAACCAAAATGTTGGCTCAGAAACTGGCATTTGAAGCATGCAAGTCTTAAAGCTGTCAAGTTACAAGACCCTTGCACTCCTAACCCTTTAGAAAAAAAAACCCAGGGGTGTTCAAACTTGACAGCTTTAAGACTTGTGGACTTCAACTCCTAGAATTCCTCCTCTCGCTCTTCATCTTGATGATGTGCGGACGGGCGGGGGAGGGAGCTGGAACCGGTTCTAAATGGCACTGTAGATTTGTGGAACCTCTTCTATGGAAGAGGTTAGAACTGGCAGGAACCCACCCCTGGATTGCCAAGTTAGGATCTTTAATTTAGATGATTATTTTATTAAGATGTCCCCACCTAGAATGCCTGAGTTGACAAAATGTACTAGACTGAAATATTCAAGGAGATCATTTTGAATGGGAGTGCCAGAGATGAGAACTCGGCGTGGCGTATTCAAGCTGTTGAGAGCCTGGTATGTTTGGTTATCTGAGTTTTTCAGCCGGTGCCCCTGAAAAAAAAAAGAGAGAGAAAAGATCATCATGCATGGACAGAATAAAAAATAAGTGTTTTTTTTAAAAGGCTAGTTAATGCAAGAAAATTATCTCAGTTCAATTATGAAAAAGGATAGGAAATATATTAGATGCACAAATGCTCATAGATCAAGGCAACAAGCACATACATTGTAATGTATGTGATTAAAATATAGCTATATTTAATAGATTTACTGGTTATTGATTACTCTGCTGATAGAGTTAATTAACCAAATTTGTCATTTAAAAGATGTGAAAAAGGCTGTTTGGCAGGAAAAGATCCTATGTTCAAAGCCATGGAGTAATAATTTTCACTGATCCTATCCACCTTAGCAACAGAATCATCAATTTAGTTTCAATGAGTCCATTAGTCCTGAATCTATTTAATAGTCATATTTCATTTCTTTCAAAATTATAAGATTGGATTTATCCTATATTTAATCAAGGAAGAAAGTCAGCAATGTGATAATTACTTCGTGTCACCTTTCATTTTTAAAACCCATCAGAAACAGTTAACTTTCCTTACTGGAATTGGAAATCATGTTCTGAAGTCTACTTTAGAAGGAAGTAAAGAAATAACCCCATATAGTAGTAATGCCAACAGTCCTGATCTTTTCTTCAAACAGGATTTAATTCTCAACACAATGGACCACATGCCTGGACCTGTCTTTTCTTTCTGTTCCCTCAGTAAAAAGGATCCAACCAAGCCTATTGTATTCCCCTGATTAAGCAGAGCCTGCCGTTTTGTCTCCTGCTAATGAAAAATGGGCAGAAGCAAAAATGAATTGAACAAAGCCATGTTTTGGGAGACAAAGGCAGCAAAAGAGACAGAAAAGCTATGGAAGATTGTAGCAATGAAGGTTGCCAATAGGCCCAAATTCATTACAGTGGGACAAAACCCTGAAGGAGGCTTGGATGATCAAATCGGCCTTCCATTGGGATAGTTATTTTGTAAAGCTTTGATTTGAAGATTTGATTATCAGTTTGGATTTTGCTTAGAAATCAAAGCTCCTATGAATACAAAATTGTGCCTGTATCCATTATATCTATTTCTTTGTGTTATTCTCTCATGGGGGCTGAGCGGGGAGACTAGAATAGATCGTTAAATTATTTTTTGAATGACACCCTTTTCTGTCCTTACGTTTTATATTTTTTATCTTCTGCACAAAGTTATCTGCCACAATTTGCCCATCTACTCATCACCTTAGTTATTTAAGTTCTACACAGAATTAAGAAATAGATGACTAGTAGGGACAGAAATTGGAATTGGAATTAAAGCTGCTGGAAGAAACACCAACAATATCAGAGGTGCTGATGATACTACTGGAAATGGGAAGGACTTAAGGAAATTTATGGTAAATATGAAAAAGTAAAAAAAAAAATCAATATTAAAACATCCTAAACCTATGCTAATAGGCAGTGTGAATCTAATGGAAATAAGTCGAGAAGAGGTAGTAAACAAATGTTACCCTCCTATGTTTAAAAGTTATCAGGGATGGTGATTGCAGTCAAGAAATAAAGCAACATCTTGAGAGAAAGACTATGACAAATCAAGGCAAAACAGTCAGGGTTTTACCAGTTGCAAGAGGTAGCTAAGAAAATTGAATTCTCAGAAAAAAAAATTGAAGTATGCCTTAGAATTGGGATGATGGATAAAAATGTTTATAGTGACTTGTAAGTGCAAAACCCATTCCCGCACTGCTGATATTTAGCTTTTTTTAACAAAAACATGGGTGTTCCAAAGAACTCATTACCTCATCACATATGACCAACCCAACACTCCCTTTCTTGAGAGCTTCTGCATGGAGACGAAAAGTTTCATAGGAAATTATTAGGATGGGGGATGGGATTCTACGGCCTCGCTGGTTCACGAATCCCACTATCAGGAAAAAAAATGGCAAAGGAATAAAGATAAAAAATGTATTTAAGAGCAGAGATAATTTAATAAATGTGAAGGGAAACAACTGAAAGGAAACTTGCTTCCAGGCATTAGAATTTCTTAAAATGAGTAATTTATCCCACAAAGGTAACAGGCTTTTACACTTTCCATCCCTACTCTCCGATAAATCTACTTTCTGATAGTCCCCCACTTCTGTATTGCTTTGGATCTGAAAAATACTGTGCAGTATTCAATTATTCGAAGTAACTTAACAGTCTATTGCTAAGTCAGGACAGAGCTCTGTCCTATAAACCTATCCTTAATTTACCATGTACTATTATATCTCTGCCTCATCGTATCTTGGTTTAAAATAAAATTTTGCCATTCTCAGAATAAACCCATGAATATCAACATACTTGTCTCATTTATTTTAATGGGATTTCTTTAAGCAATTTGAAGAGTGCACCAGCTCATACTTTTTCTGTAGTCTACTCTATGCTCTTTCTTAATTCATAAGTACAAAAGTTGCTAATTATTCCATTTAACAAGCACAGAAATCATCCTCAGCACAGTCTACTAAAAAAAAATCCCTATCATTATATGCTTTAGTCTGAAACGTATTGGCAGTTTAGTTAAAGCACTCCCCTTGCTTTGCAACAGCTGCATGTTGTGTTTATACCTAGCTTATTATCTATGTCCTCTTTAGAGCCTCCATCAATAGCCAGTGGCTGGATTCTTCCTCCAAGCCATTTGCCCACTTCATTGTACCAGTTTTTCACCAGGCTGGAAGGCGCAACCACGATTGCCTTGTCAATTTCAGGCTTGCAGTCTGGACTTTGGCGCAAAAGTGTCCAAATCAAAGTGATACATTGCAAGGTCTTCCCTAGACCCATCTCATCTGCCATGATGCAGCCATGACTTCCGGGGATCCGACGGCTTGTAACACATTCCCATAGGAACTTCACTCCCTGTATGAAAGTGCTTGAGTTCAATTTAAATAGGTATGTAGTATATTTAAAATCATATTGAGTTATCTAACTGAATTGTAGAGCCCAATATCTAACCATTTACAGGAGCAATGAACAATCCCACTCTGTGGAAATCACATACTTAGCCAGGAAATTATCACTAGTGGGATTCAAAATTACAGTATTCAAAAGATCTCAAACTTTCAAGAAGCAGCACCTGTGTAAACAGTGGCCAATTATGCCTATAATGTATGGGCTACAACATCAGTGAATTGTTTTACTTTATTCCAAGCAAAAATAAATCAAGATGACAAACTAAAGAAAAACAATCATAGTAAAATTGCTACTTATACTTCATTGTGCAATAGTTTGCAGAAGAACTGCCATGCCGTTATTTTCTGCAGGATAGACTACTACAGTTAAGATCTAAACTTATGACCACATCACCAAGACTGGAACTTCCATTACTAAGCAAGGCAATCATTAAGTGAGCTGTACCCAATTTTATGACCTTTTTTGTGACAGTCGTTAAGTGATCTGGCTCCCCCCATTGCTTGTCAGGAGCCCTTTGGGAATGCTGCAAATGGTGATCTCATGACCCTCTAATGCTGCAACCATCGTAAATACTTGTTGTTTGCCAAGGGCCCAAATTTTTATCACGTCAGCATAGAAACGATGCAAGGATTGTAAGTGTGAGGACTGATTATAAGTCACTTTTTTCAACATCATTGTAACTTTGATTGGTTGTAAGTTGAGGTCTACCCAGAAATACTAGATTAGGCACTGTTATAGGTAAATGATCCCTTTCCTCAAAAGTAAGCTTTTATCATCATTACAGCAGTGACAATAACCACAATCAAGCTCCAAGTTTGATTCTGGTTGACAGAGGAACTCCAAATGCTTCAGTCATAATTAAAAATGTTGGCTCCCCCCCCCTTGTGAATGCTTGAAAGCAGGAAGACATAGGAAACTATGGAACAATTCCTACCCACCTCAGAGTTTCATGTTTGGTAGATATTATATAGATATTAATAATTACATAAGCTCGGTAATTATCTGTTTATTTATTTAGATATTGTTTTTGAAAATATGCCTGTTTTCAATGAAATTAAAACAAGACATAATAATATAAGCAGAGTACTGCTAATGTACATCTTAAAATTGGGAAATAAATGTGTCTCTATATTTGTATACATTGTATCATAGTTAAATAAAAAAATTAAAAGTAAAAAATGAAAAGATTTTGAATTTTTTCCTAATAGATGTAGTCATGCTCCTCAGAATAAGGGCTTCCCCAGGACAAGCAAAGCAGTTTGAACTTGTTTATGTAGCATGAGACCAGGCATTCCTCGGATTTGTGGTTTAACAGGGATTACAGTGTCTTTAATGGCTGATTATACTGTTATAGTTAGCTTCCCACTGTACTCACCACTCTCTGATGAGGTCGTAAAACACGGCTAAGACAAGGATCTACCACAACATGAACAGGCGTTTTATCCCTTCAAGAAGCAAACAGAGCACAGATCTGAAGAAATATAAACCTTAAAAGAGAAATTCTGGGAAATATCTTCAGGGGATGTGGGGATGACTGCTGCCAATGTTTTAGACTTATATAACACAGTTTTATTCCGCTCTCCAGAATTCACTGGGAACAATCCAGTTCAAAGCTAATAGAAAACTTAAAAGCTTAGCATATACCCAGCAGCTGTTTTAAACCATTTCATTACTAGAGTACACATAATTCAGAAATCAAAGGCAGAACATCATGTGCATCACAAATGGTAAATAATGACTACTAACAAAGTATTTGATCAATTTCATTTGCAGGTTAACAGGGTATATTGGTGCTTCTCTGAATCCATCATCTAATCTTGAATTTGTCTTATTTATTTGTTTATATGGCAGTTATATCTCACCATGGGGCTATTCTAAGCAGCTTACAAAAATAAAAACAGAGAAATTAAAAGAAGTGTAAACATGTCCTTAATAAAGTAACGGAACAATAAAATAAACAATGAAAAGGAAAAAAATAATACAATCATATGAAAATAAGAGATGGGGAGAGGTGGAGTTTGTTATAAATCTAGTAGTCACGTCCAGGGATACTCCTCCACTGGGTGCCCTGGCTAACCGGCCAAGTCAAGTTTCTGGGTTGTGGGAAGATAGGAGGGTGGAGACACTTTGAAGGGTAGGATATTCCAAAGGGTAGGCATTATGGCAGAGGAGGTTCTTCTTTGGGGTCCCAACAGTCAGAGTTCTTTGACTGATGAGATCCGTCTCTGCTAACACGATTGGAGTGGACTTCTCCTAGCAAGACAAGTTGGTTCATCAGGTAGCCCTGACCTAAGGGCTTTCAAGGTTATAATCAACACCTTCAACTGCACCTAGAAGAATACTGGTAGCCAGTGCAGTTACAGAGCAGAGGTATCATATGGGCCCTTTTAGGAGCCCCAAAGACTGCTCTTGCTGCTGCTGTACTTTGAACCAGCTGAAGCTTCCTAATGAATTTCAGGTGTAATCCGATGTAGAGCATATTGCAATAGTCCAAACAAGAGATGACCAGGGCTTCAGTGCAGGGAGTCATGATCCAGGAAGGGTCTGTCAGCCTCTGCTTTGCTGCTGCTTCGGCTGCCATGAAACGGGGAGAGAGGGCATGGTATTTGGGAGGGGTTACACCTGAAATTCATTAGGAAGCTTCAGCTGGTTCAAAGTACAGCAGCAGCAAGAGCAGTCTTTGGGGCTCCTAAAAGGGCCCA